TGTTTTACACGTTCATACCTTTCCGAGGTGTGTGTGCGATACGCACAAAATGTGATTTCTATGTTGTACAACATAGGGCTCTGGACTCGATTGGTCGCGTGCATCATAACAAGATTTTCACCAAGAACATTATGTGTCCATCCAGAAGCCTGTAAGGGGTCCACTGGGTAAGTCTAGAACTGGGATCGTGCGAGGATCTTCGATCGGCGCTCCAGTCATGCTCAAGCCCTGCAGCTTCTGTTCTCCCAGGGCTTGTGTGTGCGACACCTGCCCCGCGAGGGGCACACGTCATACATCAGATGCACTGTGATAGGGATATTCGATTTGTGAAGAAGCCGACAATGGATACTCATGTTTCGGTTCTGCAGGTACCGCTATCCCCGAGTTCCTTGCGCCTACTCCGTAATCCATTCAAATTAATTTGAATGGTCGAATCATAATTCGCAAGCGCTAGAGGGCAATTGACATCCCGTGTGGCTGGTGTGGCGTTTTGTTGTTGCCCAGGTGTTTAGTGTAATCCCTCGTTTGGTGTGGAGGAATGTGTTCCATGGGTGGGCGACCGGGAGAACTTTAGCGCCACTCCTTTGGGCTATCCTTTAGGCCGGAACCTTGGTAACTTGAGTGGCAAACCTTGGGTCTAATAGTCTGGAGGAGAGCTTTAAATATGAGCTTCAACTGTTTATGCACCTCAACTCCTTTTCTGGGGTTAAAGACGATATTTTGGTAATAATAGACATAATAAATTAAAGATATAAATACAAAGTCTAATGGAAATAGTAACATACCAAGTGTTAGGTCTAGACTGAAACGGGGTCAGGGCCAATCAGTCGCAAATTCAGGGGCCAAGCAAGTTTGGCCAAGTTTAGACTCGTAAAGTAATCTACGGTCGAGACTTTCCTCCCTCTTTTCTTCTTTTCACAGATCATCGCATCGTGAGAGGGGGAAATTCATTCTCTAATTTCCAATCGCTTCCTCTCTCCTACTACCCTCGTTCAATTGTCTCTCGCTCAGTTTTTTACAGCTCCTGGTTGCTCGAGAACCAGTGTCTCACACAATCCCACCGCCTCGTCCTTGCGGCCCTTTCGACTCATTTATTATTATTTATCTTTTTATTTCTTTCCTATAGCGGGTTGATCCTGCCTTTTCCTTTTGACTTTTCCCCCCTGTGACTTACCCACAGTCGCGCCATATATCGTTACAACCCGTCCGATCATCGCGCCAGTCGATCCCTACATCCTTGATGAATACGCGCCCCCTTGGTTCAAACTGTTAGATTTAGATTGGTATAACATATCGAATATCAATTGTGCTTGGCCAACATGCAGAACTTCATTTGGGCTCTGCTAGGCCTGGCCATTGTGCCTCAAGCCCTGGCAGCCGACACCCTATCCACGAGCGGATTCGACCTGTGCATGACCGATTCGGCAATCAACGTCCAAAAGATGGATGTTACCTACACTCGTTCTACTGGAGTAGTTGTCTTCGACGTGGCTGGTACCAATGCGATGGAACAGAAAGTGTCGGCGTCTATCACCGTCACTGCCTATGGCAACGAAATCTACAGCAAAGAATTTGATCCCTGCGGCGATGAAATTCATGTGGACGAACTCTGCCCCGTTCCCAAGGGCACTTTCAAAGCCAGCGGATCCATGGAAGTTCCGTCCCAATATGCTAGCCAGATCCCTGGTATCGCATTCAACATGCCCGACTTGGATGGTCAGGCAAAGCTTGTCCTTAAATCCAAGGCAGGCCAGAATAACGTGGCCTGCATCCAGTCTCAACTGACCAACGGCCATACCACGAACGTCGGCGCGGTCAAATATGTCTCGGCAGGCATTGCCGCAGGCGCTCTAGCACTGAGCGGTGTCTCTGCCATCGGCTCCGCAGGAACTGCTGGATCACCGTCATCCAGCCCTGGTGTTGGCGATGTAATGGGCTGGTTCCATTCCATGGCCACGAATGGCATGCTCAGTGTCGCCTACCCCCAGGTCTATAAAAGCTTCTCCTCGAACTTCATGTGGAGTACTGGTTTGATCTCTTGGCCAGGCATGCTGCAGTCCATTGACAAATTCCGTGCGGCTACAGGCGGTAACTTGACTGAGTCAAGCTACGAGTTCCTGAAGAATTCCTCTACGACGCAAAGTAGCTCATCATCCACCAACACGACAAAACGGAGCTGGGACTACACCATCCAATTCGGCGAGATGGTTGCTCGCTCGGTTGACACTTCCGCCGATGCTAGCGTTTCGAACAGCTCTTCGAGCAGTGGTGAAGGTTCTTCGAGCACGGTTAACGACCTGAAGAATGTCGCTCAAGAACTGATGGTTCCTTCTGCCGATGTTTTCATGACTGTTCTCCTGATCTTCGCCATCGTTATCGCTGTGGTTGTCGTCGGTATTCTTTTGATGAAGGTCATACTGGAACTGTGGGCGCTTTATGGCAACTTCCCTAACAAGCTAGCCGATTTCCGGAAGGATTATTGGGGCTTGATGGCGCGGACAATTACCAACATGATCCTCGTGCTCTACAGTATCTGGGTTCTATACTGTGTCTACCAATTGCGAAAGGGTGACTCGTGGGCAGCAAAGCTGCTGGCTGCCATAACCCTCTCTCTCTTCACAGCGCTTCTTCTTTTCTTTGCCCTTCGCATTGTCTACATGGCTCGCAAGTATAAGAAGGCCGAGGGAGATACCGACAGCCTGTACGAGGACAAGGAAACCTGGAAAAAATACAGTTTGTTCTACGACAGCTACAAGAAGGACTTCTGGTGGCTCTTCATCCCCGTCATTGTGTACGCCTTGGTCAAGGGCTGCATCATCGCCGGTGGCGAGGGCCACGGTCTGTTCCAAAGTGCTGGCCAGCTCGCCTGCGAAATCCTTCTGTTGGGACTCCTGCTATGGAGCCGCCCATATGCCACTAAGGCATCAATGGGAATCAACATCGCCGTCCAGATCGTCCGTGTCCTGTCCATTGCTTGCGTCCTTGTCTTCGTCGAAGAACTCGGTCTTTCCCAAACAACAAAGACAGTCACCGGCATTGTCCTCATTGTCGTGCAGTCTACTCTCACTGCGGTCCTCGCTATTCTCATTGCAGTCAACGCCTTCATCGCCTGCTGCCGCGAGAACCCGCATGCTAAGCGGAGAAGAGAAGCTGGTAAGTCAAAGATACCTTGTGATCCAAGTCCCATCTCAACATGTCCATATACTAACGATTTCTTTCTTATAGAAAAAGCAAACCGCGATATCGATGACCTCACTCCCTTGGACGCCCGAGACTCCCTCCTTATGGAACACCCACAGCGCAAGCAATACGCCGAGATGAGCAACTTCAACTTCACCGGCCCCTACGAGTCCTACCGAGATGAGCCCAAGCGAGCCAGATCACCTGGCAGCAACGAACGCGATGGCCTAGTTCACAATGACTACGGCGTTGCGCACGGCCGCAGCGCAAGCCCCGACAGCCACCGCTCGCGAAGCTCTCTTGAAGGCCGTCGTCCCGCAGCTCCGGGCTACGGAATGGCATATTAAAAAAGAAACAACAAAAAAGAATAAAAAACAACCAACGAAAGCGTCACAGACTTGATATGACGTTACATTTCTTCTTTCTCTCCCGTGTTTTTATCTTCCACTCGACATTCTTAGATCGGGCACGCGCGCTGTGGCTTGGGAGTTACTTTTTTTTGACGGTTTTTAGCGTGCTTGAAAATGGCGGCTGGGCATTTATTGATCTTCCTGCCTTTAGATGCATCTTCTTGTGTGATATCACTTCCATTCTTTTTTTCATCTTGTCTCTATACATACCTCATTCATTACCATGTTTACCATCTATCATTTATATTACCGCTTGCAATTGATGAGCATTTCTTCCATATTAGTTTCGTAATAATCCCTGTGACTTGTTCGTAGTCTTGTAACCCTGGCGACGTGGGTATGGTATCTCTCCTGATGCACTATATTTATATTGGAAAACGGTCCTAACAGCAGTCCGAAGTTGAGGTCAAGGATTTCGTCCCTTCTTAGCATAAACTATTTGAATGTAATCTCATAGTCTCATGTAGTTTTCAATGCTGTATAACTTATAACCTTATGATTTCTCAGTTAAGACAGAGGTCTACAGACAGAAACGTTGATATGCATCGTGGAAGTAAGATGGGTGGAAGGATATATAGAGCAACTCAAAGTGAGGGGAGTCATCTATCTGAACAAGCTCGTGAAGAACATTGAAACTCCCTGGTAATTCTGTACTAAACGTGTTGGAAGTTGCTCAGGTGAGTGCTTACATTGTAGGGCCTAGCAAACCTTTCAAGAGATTTGTGAACTGGGCATTTTGAATGGCACCAACTGGGAAATTATCAAGTCACGTGAATTGCATGGCCCTATCTAGAAAACGACCTATACAATTGATTCGATCACCACTATGAAAATGACTATTCTGAGCACAAAAATACATAGATATTCACCCCAAGGTAGCCATGATTCCCAAGAAGTAATTTGAGATATACAAAATAGCCTTGTGTCGCTTGGTTGGGGCCTGTCGCGCTGGTTCCCACCTATAGTTCAAATGTTGCCATGGCTGGGGAGCCTCGTCGACATTTTGATTTATCAAACAACGAAAACCCTCTGCCCTACAACCTCCGCCCTAAACCTACGAGACCATCTACGACGTAACTTGAATGAGCACTTTCGACTTTTGATTGTGAGGCTAACTTCACAACAAAATGTAGTGTATCACCGAGCTTGAAGGTTGAAGACCCGCTCTCACCGATCACCTAACAATTTCCCTCCCGCTTAGCACGGATAGCCTCGACCCAAGCTTTCCAAGGTTGATTCCCGAACGTCGGCACTCGCGAACAAAAGCACGAAAGCACTGGACCAGATAACCTTGAAATGAAGTCAAAGAGTATGGGGATTGCCAATACAACCAGCGCGCCGGTTTTCCACGCGTTCGCTGGCGGCCACGCAATTATCAATCCATGAGGCCCAAAATCGCTGGCCTCAGGTAAAAAAAAAAAAGACTTAAAAAACACATGAAAGAAACGAAGTTGTATCTGAAACGAGAAGAGACTAAATGCGTCACTTGAAGGAGCCACAACGAGGAGACTAGCGCTGGTAGGGGTGGAAGGTGCGGTGTCCACCTCGGCCACCACCACGGTAGTTCGCACCAGGCTTGCCGGCGTTACGGGGTCCAGTGGGAGCATTAGCGGGTGCAGTGCTCTGGGGCTGAGGAGTGGTTCCTGTTTGATAAAAGTGTTAGTTACCACGAGCAATAAAATAAGAACGGAATTGGGATGAAAGGGGCACAATATGCAAAGACTCGTAAGAATCACATACCACTACCCGAACTTCCAATGCGTCTCATACCTGCTGGTCCGGTCGGGACGTGAGGTTGAGGAACTTCATCGTACATGCCCTCCCACGAAGTTGGGCCACCCTGCTGCTGGTAAGGCGAGAAACCGCGAGGGTCCATCGAGCGGTTAATCTGCTGTTGTTCGTACTTTTGCTGCTCGAAGGCAATCTGCTCGGTCGCATTGTATCCAGGTCCAGTCTGTCCTCTGGCTGCGTTTGGGGTTCCGTTGTTACTGTAGTTGGCGGCCATAGCGGCGGCGTTGGGGACAGGGCTGGCGCAATCGCTGCCTGGACCACCGGGGGCATTGGCTTGGTTGGGCTGCATCATAGCGGGGTTCATCATGTTGGGCATGGCCTGCTGGGAGCCAGGGCTCTGAGGGCCGGGGCCGGGGCTCATAGCACCTTGCTGCTGGGCACCCATCTGCTGCTGCTGCTGCTGCTGACGCATCTGCATCTGCTGCATTTGTTGCATCTGGGCCATCATAGCGGGGTTCATGTTCATAGCACCGCCCATGTTCATGCCGGGCATTCCTCCCTGACCGGCCATCTGCTGCTGCATCATGGTAAAGTACTGTTGCATGCGTTGCCAGTATTGGGCCATCATTTGAGGAGTCATCGAACTACCCTGTCCCTGCTGAGGGGCTTGCTGCTGACCTCCGTCGTTCTGGTTTTGGTCGCGGTATCCTCCGTTGCGGTGGCCCCCTCCGCGTTGTTCGTTGTTCTCACGCAGGTTGCCACGGGGCTGGGCTTTCTTGACCTCAATTGGCTTGCCCAGAATCTCAAGAGGACGGGAGAGAGCCTTCTCAACAGCAGCATCACCGTCGAAAGTAACGAAACCAAATCCACGAGGACGTCCGGTGTCCTTGTCCATCATAAGAGTGGCATCCACAACACGGCCAAACTGCATAAAGAATTGCTTGAAGTCCTGCTCAGTAGCCTCCTGGCTAACACCACCAACGAAAATCTTTGAAGTCTTCTCCTGTTCGTCGCGAGGAATAGCACGCTTGGGATCGATCTTCGATATTGGTCAGCAACAGCTCACTTTGCCTAAGTGTCCCAATTGCGAGGTAGTTCTTACAATTTTTCCATCCAGATAATGCTCCTTCACCATTACAGTATTGACAGTCTTAGCGTCACGGAAAGTCAAAAACCCAAAGCCGCGAGAGCGTCCAGTGGCGCTATCCCGCATGACGGTGCACTCCTGAACCTCACCGAATTGAGAGAAATAGTCACGGAGTGACTCTATATGAAGATCAAGATATGTCAGCCAGATGACGCGTTTTCCGTGTAGCAAAGACATATTTACCGTCTGTAGTCTCCCAGTTCAGACCACCAATGAACATCTTTCTAATAATCCCATTGTGATCGGTTAGCGATGGTCCAGCCCAAAGGTCAAAATCGGAATGTCCAGGGGTAAGATATCCAGTGAACGACATGCTGATGAAGACAAATGTGGTAGAAATAATAATTGGGGAGGGTAAAGGAAGTAAATCAACGTGCAGAGGCGGGTGGCGAGGTATTGCTATTCATGGGCTATTCGAGTGTGCGAAAAGAGTCGCTATTCTGAGCACAACTGCCCTAGAACAAGCAGGGCACGTGCTAGGTCGGTACATGATCTTTGTACCTCGTAGTCACTGTCAATGTATACTTGTATGGGCTTGAGCAATTTTGAAGTTCATGACCGGGATTTAACGTCAAGCCCACTGGTTTACATGGGCCTGGATGCAGAATTCATGTCCTCCTCTTTCTGGTTTGCTCAAGCCGGAGACAAGCGAGATGAGAAGCGTGGAGGTGCAAGTATTTCAGTCGTAAAAAGTGAATTGTCACTGTCTGTCTGTCTGACTCGTGAAAACCTTTGCCTTGTCTAACACAGAGTCCCAAGCTAGATAGCTACTTCTTGCTCTGCCCTATCAAGGTATATCGACAGGAAACTATATAGTATCGGCTGTACTATATATGAATCGTTTGTGATAAAGGTCCGTGGGTGGCGTGTGGTTGATTTGCGCAAGCAATTGTCTTCGTCAAGGGCTCCAGGGGATGTGCTTTTTGAGCCTCTGCTTGATTCCGTGGAGTAGATGCCGGAGTATTCCAATATATGAACGGTAGATCACTCTTTTGGTAGACGTTGGTGGTTGTGCGATAGGGTTCCTCGAACAGACATGTTGTTGATTGGTCGCCGAGCCCGCATTTTGTTTTCCCTCCTTCGAAAGCGCATGCGCTATCAGACAACCGGCAAATTTTCCTCAAACAGCCCATAGTCCACAGCCCAGAGAAATCTTAACCCGTAGCTAGGAGACTCCTTCCTGCACCCAGAATTGTAGTCGAACCCATGAATAGCAATTGGCGCCACCCAGGCTTGTACTGGCGAGATAAAGCCCAAAACCAGACGGATACATGCAATTGGGGTAGAGTTCGAACAGGGAGATGTAAAAGAAACGCGATTAGTGGACTTACCCGTCTTCTTTGATTCCTGTTCCGTGAGACTCGGTCTCGACAGGAGGGGGTGCCTGGGGAGTGGCAGGGGCGCCATAAGCGTTTCCGGAGCCATTTTGGTAACCCGGGTCAAACATCGAAGGCTGAGGAGGGTGCGATTCATATGTGGCAACAGGGGCAGGTGCGAAGCCCTCTCCAGCACCGTCTCCAGTAGGAGCAAAGTTGGTCGCGCCTAGATCAGTAGGCTTCGGCGCCTCAACCGCTTCAGTGGTGCGATTGGTGGAATCATCAGCATCGTAACTAAAGAAGGAAGTCTGATTAGAATTTTGTTATTTCAATGTAGAGTAAGGTAGAAAACATACAGATCAGCAAAGAGATCATCTCCATCCTCTGGGTCAGCCATGATAAAACAGTGAGCGGTCAATAAATCGATAAGAGAGCTAGTCACGGGAGCAAGTGTAACCCTAGTAAATCAGAATAGAGCAAAACAAAAGTAACAGAAGAGCGAAAACTTGAGAACAAGAGGATGAAGAAGTTGAGAAGTCCAATCGCGGGAATCCCCAAGCGGAGCGCTTACATAATGCGTTCTCTTCACGCGGATGAAAGCTAGGCATTCTGTATCTATATGGTTAGAACCTACAAGATTGCTTTGATTTGTCTTTCGTTTCGAGTCTATTCCTCCCAAATATGCTCTATTGATTTTCTATTCCGTTCCTACATGGCCTGGCTGCAGGATACGGCATTCGTTCTATCACAGGCCACCCCGCACGTGTATCAGAGTCCCGCATGAGCGCACCTCTTTCGGAATCCCCATACGATGGCGAACAAAAAAGGGCAGCAGGTATGTTTATTTTACAAGTCCTAAGACTTTCTTGGATCCTTGTATGCTGGACATTGAGCTGACTGTATCCCTAGGAAATGGTCCAGGTTGGTTCGTATCTTTTGCCTCCCCTTGCATTTTAATCGCAGCTCTTGCTTACATGGCCTTTATCTCCATTTCACAGACAATTCGGAGTAAGTGAAAGTTTTATATGCCCTCTTCTACAGCTATAAAAACAGCTGTATGGTCTGTTGAATGCTAATGTCCTTTGAAGACGTGCCGAATCGCCGTTCTGGGCTGGCCGAACTACGCCCCTAAATCAGGGACCATCGAAGTTCTATGGCTCGAATACTGTTGTTGGCGCATCATACTCACATGCCAATATTGTACAGTATGTTAGCAATGCATTCTACAGATCTAGCAATTGACCGGAATCGACGACTGACAAGTGTCTTCTTTGGCAGACCTACCTCCTCCCACTCAGCCCCGAGAACACCGCCGAAGCAGTCGGCAACAAATTCTGCATCGAACTTGGCTCGCAGGCCAGGAAACCTGGTTGCCTCACCTCCTCGGCAACCCTACCCCGGAATTATGACCGAAGGGGTCGACGAGTGGAGTCGTGACCCCACGGAAGAAGATGATGAAGATGATGACGATGATGAGATTGTGTACGATGATGATGAAGACGAATTCGGGCTCCCTAGTCTTGCTAGTATGAGGAGGAAAAGATCCGCGCCTTTGAAGGCCCAGAATATTGATTTCAGTGGTGGGGCAGGAGGCAACTCCTCAACACTTGGGTATGGATTAGCCGCCGCCAACAGGCAACGCGCGAATAGTTCAGATATTGCGGAAGAGCGTGGTGCCCCGATGTATCCAACTGCTCGCAAGGGGGAGGGGAAGATTCTCCGGCCTCAATACAAGGACATCTTACAAGGTATATATAAGTCGATGACTGAAAAAAGCAGAACCATGCTGACAGTTATAGACCCTGCCAATGCTTTGAACCTCATCAACCACTCCCCACCTCCTATAGATGCTTCACCTAAAGAGAGGGACATCCATTCGAGTCGCATTACGCGAATCAACAAGTTCAAGCGCATCTTGCAAGCAAGTACGGTATCTCCCACTGAGCTGCGGGATCTCGCTTGGTCAGGTGTCCCGGAAGAAGTGCGGCCAATGACTTGGCAACTTCTCCTTGGCTATCTTCCTACAAATAGTGAACGACGCATCTCCACTCTGGAACGGAAGCGTAAGGAGTACCTTGACGGAGTCCGGCAGGCCTTTGACCGAGGCAGTGGGGCAAGCTCTGCAAACCCCCCTTCAACCAAGGGCCGTGGCAGAGGGCTTGATGAGGCAGTTTGGCACCAGATTAGCATTGATGTTCCACGCACCAGCCCCCACATTCCGTTGTATGGCTATGAAGCCACTCAGCGGTCTTTGGAGCGCATCCTTTATCTCTGGGCCATTCGACACCCGGCAAGTGGTTATGTTCAAGGTATCAATGATCTAGTAACTCCATTCTGGCAGGTTTTCCTGGGCGTTTATATAACCGATCTGAACGTTGAAGATGGCATGGACCCAGGCCAATTGCCTCGGAGTGTGTTAGATGCGGTGGAAGCGGACACTTTTTGGTGTTTGACAAAGCTGCTGGACGGTATCCAGGACAACTACATTTATGCTCAGCCTGGCATTCACCGACAGGTCAGGGCACTACGAGACTTAACAGTGCGCATCGATGCAGCACTCGCAAAGCACCTGGAGCAAGAAGGTGTGGAATTTATGCAATTTAGTTTCCGATGGATGAACTGCTTGCTCATGCGGGAAATGAGCATCAAAAACACGATACGCATGTGGGACACGTATATGGTGCGTTTTCCCCTAGGGGACTGCTTTGCATGATATTAATCGTCATTCTAGGCCGAGGAGCAGGGCTTCTCTCGATTCCACCTCTATGTTTGCGCTGCATTCTTGGTCAAATGGACAGATCAATTGGTCAAGATGGATTTCCAGGTACGATTTTCTAATCGAATATCGCCTCTATTAAACAGGAACTAACGGTTCTTCTAGGAGGTCATGATGTTCCTCCAAGCATTGCCAACGAAGGGTTGGACCGAGAAAGATATTGAGCTCTTACTCAGCGAAGCATTTATCTGGCAAAGCCTGTTTCAAGACTCGCGTGCTCACCTCCGGCCTGCTGGTGATGAACCTCCTGAAAATGGTATCTTTTATTGATAGTAATCATAATTCATGATCCGAATTCCCAACTTCTATTTTCGGATGCTTTCCCCCGGGGCAGACATGGTCTGTCTCGCTCAGTTGAAATGAATGCCCTTTTGGTTGAATGCCCACAGCAGCTTCAAGAAATCATTCTCGTCACACATTCTCGCGCGCCTCTCTCCGAGACCAGTGTCATCCTCCAGGACCTGGCGTACCTTCTCACGGACTAGCTCTGCAACCTTGCCACGCTTCTTGCGCGAAGCTCCATTCTTGAGTGCTGCTTCAAGGCGGGCATTTGTGCTCTCCTTGAAGAAATCAGGAACATCGTCATCATCCATTTCCATGGCCTCGTCGGCCGGTTCCTCGGCAGCCTGTTCCTGCTCTTCCTCGCCCATGTCCATTACCATGGCATCGTCGTTGGCGACTTCAACCGGGCCATCCTCCACTGGGATGTCGTTTTGCGCACACCATGTCCGATAGTTTGCCTCTAGCAATTCCATGATGCTTGTCGTACCAATGAAACTGGACCGGAGAGTCTTGTTCTTCCGGACGAAAACAATTCGCAAAAGACCATCCCACTCTTCGTAGTTGATCTGTGGCCGTGGGTTCTTGGGGACCATTCGAATGACACTGGACTCGACCTGGGGCGGTGGCTTGAAGTTGTTCTTGCCGACCTTCATGATATGATCAATCTTGGCCCACATTTGCGCATTGACTGAAAGTCGACTGTAAAGTTTGTCACCGGGCTTGGCGAATAAACGCAGAGCGAATTCACGTTGGAACCTGTATGAGAGGTTCACATGTAAGCTCTCAATTACACAGAACGTTTCTGAAAACTTCCAGCCTTGATGACGGAGACTTACATGAGAACGCAGGAACGAGGCGCCGGAGATGTAGCCAGGAGCTTAAATGTGAGAGGAGAAGAGATCTTGACTCTGTTAGACTCGGGGAAAACCCTTGAAAAAGATATAGGACTGTACATACCTGGTAGGGAGTATTACTGATGCAGACATCGAAGTATGGGAGCTCCGTCTTCATCACATCTCCAAGAATGACCTCTAGGCGCTTTTGGTATGGAGTGGACTGGAAGCGCTTGGTGACTTCTGCGGCCATACGAGGATCCAATTCCACGGCAATACACTTCTTCGCCTTTTCCAAAATCTTGGCTGTCAAGTTACCAGTACCGGGACCAATCTCGAGGACAATCTATTGATTCACACTATTAGTGTTTGTCAAGCCAATCAATGTCTTTTGTAACTCACATCGCTTTGCTTGAGCTCGGCCTTTTCCACAATTGCAGCTAGATATCCACCTGTTAGCTAGAGAAGGCATAGTGCAGTGAAAACCAGTCCGTACCAGCAATACCAGGGTTCTTCAGAACGTGCTGGCCGATATCAGTGTTCATCTTGAAGATGCTGTGAGCGGCTTTTGTCTTGGCAGCAGCATCTGACATGCCATGCGAAGCGGCGCTATTGCGCTTCGGCTTGTTAACTTTGGGCATCTTGGAGTAATGATCCTATGGAATATGAAAATTATCAAAAGAAACCAGAGAGAAAACCTGCGGCAACAAAGCATGGACTTCAATGTGGGCTGGAACTTTTTTTGCGATAAGATTGCCGGCACCGGAATTACCCTTTCCCGAGCCCGCCTTCGCCTTCAGCGCCATCGATGTCGAGCTCTTTGAGTTGTGTTGTGCCCAATATGGCGTCTGGACGAAAGGATTTCCTAAGCCAGGCAGCGCCTGAAAACTATGTTGCTGGTCTAGGTCGTGGTGCGACAGGATTCACCACTCGCTCCGATCTTGGCCCGGCGCGTGAAGGACCTACGCCCGAACAGATCCAGGCTGCTCTGACCAAGAGAGCTCAGCTTCTCGGAGCTGCTGCACCAACTGCCTACGGCGCCACTACACGGGAGAAAGGTGGAAAAGAGGAAGATAAGGAGGAGGAAGATGAGCGGTTCCAGGATCCCGACAACGAGGTCGGGCTGTTCGCATACGGACAGTTCGACCAAGAAGATGATGAGGCAGACCGCATCTACCAAGAGGTAGACGAGAAGATGGACAAGCGCCGGAGAGCTCGCAGGTTAGTCATATCCCTCCCATTCCCCCTCCGAAACCATTTGTTTATCGGGTTAGCCCCGGTTCTTTGGACAGAGTACCGACTTGAATCGCTCGCCGCCTACAGGGAAGCTCGAGAGAAAGCCGAACAACAAGAATACGAACGTAATAACCCGAAGATCCAACACCAATTTGCCGATCTGAAACGCACACTCGCCTCGGTATCTGAAGAAGACTGGGCCAACCTCCCGGAAGTTGGAGATTTGACGGGCAAGAATCGACGAGATAAACAGAATGCCCGAGAGCGGCACTACGCCGTCCCGGATAGTGTCATCGCTGGCGCGAGAGACTCGGCTCAATACGGCACGACAATCGCCGAAGATGGCACGGAAACGAACGTCGGCGAAGGAGAAAGCGCCGACGGCACCATGATGAACTTCGCAGATATCGGTGCGGCGCGTGATAAAGTGCTGAAGGTCCGCCTCGATCAGGCTGCGCTAGGGTCATCCGCTGATACATCCGGAACCGCTACGAATATCGACCCCAAGGGCTACCTCACCAGCTTGACACAATCAGAAGCCAAGGCTGGTGAAGTTGAGGTGGGCGATATCAAGCGAGTTCGTACCCTGTTAGAATCCGTCACCAAGACCAATCCTAAGCATGCTCCCGGTTGGATTGCCCTAGCTCGTCTGGAGGAGCTTGCTGGCCGGATTGTGGCTTCTAGGACCCTCATCGCTAAAGGGTGTGAACTCTGCCCCAAAAGCGAAGATGCATGGCTGGAAAATATTCGACTCAATGAAGGCCACAATGCAAAGGTCATTGCAGCGAATGCTATCAAGAACAATGACCGTTCCACAAGACTTTGGACCGAGGCCATGAGATTAGAAACGGACACCCGTGCCAAGAAGAATGTTCTCCGACAAGCTATTTTGCACATTCCCCAATCGGTGCAGATCTGGAAAGAAGCTGTCAACCTAGAAGATGATCCCGCCGATGCGCGCTTGCTGTTGGCAAAGGCCGTTGAAATCATTCCTCTGTCAGTCGAGTTGTGGCTTGCCCTTGCTCGCCTTGAATCTCCAGAAAATGCACAGAAAGTCTTGAACGCTGCTCGCAAGGCCGTTCCTACTAGCTATGAAATCTGGATTGCTGCAGCTCGACTCCAGGAGCAGATGGGTACATTTGCGAAGGTCAATGTCATGAAGCGTGCTATCCAGTCCCTGGCCCGAGAGAATGCCATGCTGAAGAGAGAGGAATGGATCACTGAAGCCGAGAAATGCGAAGGCGAAGGTGCTGTTCTTACATGTGGTAGTATCATCCAAGAGACTCTTGGATGGGGCCTGGATGAGGATGATGACCGAAAAGATATCTGGATGGACGACGCAAAGGCCAGTATTGCCCGTGGTAACTACGAAACCGCCCGGGCAATTTATGCTTACGCCCTGCGGGTCTTTGTGAACCGCCGATCAATCTGGCTCGCAGCAGCAGATCTGGAGCGCAACCACGGCACCAAAGAAGCTCTCTGGCAGGTTCTGGAGAAGGCAGTCGAAGCATGCCCTCAGAGCGAGGAGCTCTGGCTCCTCCTTGCCAAGGAAAAATGGCAGTCTGGAGATATTGACGATGCTCGACGAGTCCTCGGCCGTGCCTTCAACCAAAACCCCAACAACGAAGATATCTGGCTGGCTGCTGTCAAGCTAGAGGCCGACGCCAAAAAGACCGACCAAGCCAGAGAGCTCCTGGCCACCGCCCGCCGTGAAGCTGGCACAGATCGCGTGTGGACCAAGAGCGTTGCTTTCGAGCGGCAGCTCGGCAACATCGACGACGCTCTGGATCTAGTCAACCAAGGCCTGCAACTCTTCCCGAAGGCCGACAAGCTCTGGATGATCAAGGGCCAAATCTACGAAGCGCAGAACAAGTTCCCGCAGGCGCGCGAGGCATACGGAACAGGCACCCGAGCCTGCTCCAAGTCCGTTGCGCTGTGGCTACTTGCTTCGCGACTGGAAGAAAAAGCGGGCGCCGTGGTCCGAGCCCGATCCGTCCTCGACCGAGCCCGTTTGGCCGTTCCCAAGAGCGCGGAGCTCTGGACCGAAAGTGTGCGCGTTGAACGTCGCGCAAACAACATCGCCCAGGCCAAGGTCCTCATGGCGCGCGCGATCCAGGAAGTCCCATCATCAGGGCTTCTGTGGAGTGAAAGTATCTGGTATCTCGAGCCCCGCGCTCAGCGCAAAGCACGCAGTCTGGAGGCTATCAAAAAGGTCGAGAACGACCCAATTCTGTTCATCACTGTCGCGCGTATCTTCTGGGGCGAACGCCGGTTGGAGAAGGCCATGACCTGGTTTGAGAAGGCGATCGTCTTGGATAGTGATTACGGTGATGGCTGGGCTTGGTATTACAAGTTCCTTATGCAGCATGGTACTGAGGTTAGTTTCCCCCTTTTTATTCATTCTTTTGGCTCTCTGTTATCATTGGAATATCTATCTGACATTTGCGTACAGGAGAAACGATCAGATGTCGTGTCGAAGTGCATCTCGATGGAACCCAAGCATGGTGAATTCTGGCAGTCCATCGCGAAGGACCCGGTCAATGCCTACAAGACCACTGAGGAGATTTTGAAGCTCGTCGCAAATGCCATCAACTAGCTGGCATCAATGTTCTTTGTGGTGTATTGTCTACAGGCGTTTCGGGGGCAAACCGCCCATGGAATTCAATCTTTGACAGGGATCTGTCTCTGTTAGACTCACGTCTAAAAGTCCAGTGTGCTAATGTGTAACTATGTAATAACTTTTCACGATAACCAAGTTGTAAAGTAGAATCCATGGGTATCGAACAAGCCTGACATCCTCTTCTCAACAGGGGTCTTGGCCATTCAGCTTTTTAGGTCTGTTTGTTTCGAGATTTCCCTTCATCCTCCAGATATCGACCGCTCGCCTTGTCCCTTCAAAAGTGATACTGTACATGACCAAAACAGGAAGGAGGTGAAATATAGGGGACAAGGCAGAGGCGATCGAGACCGGATAAGACAATATCTTCAAACTCCAAATCCATATGCAAATCATGTGGCGCCACAATAGTGACAGCCTCCCTTGGTAGTACCCAGACGCCGTGAGCCACCATCCAAACCGTGAGTAGAAACAAAAAAGAAAGAGCAGAAAAAGCAGAAAAAGCAGAAAAAGCATGTAATGTGGCATGTATGAAACGGAAAAAGACAGCGGGGGGTATAAATTCTCATGCGGCCATGGACAGACACTCGTCGAGCAAAGAGCTCAACTGATCTCGATCACCAAGTGTGCCACCTTCCCAGTCTAGCAGAGAACCGTCTTCGTCTTCGTCTTCGTCCAAGTCCATCTCGTCTTCGGGTTTGATTTCCTGATGCGGCTCACCAACGCCATTCTCCAATCGATCGTGTCTTTCAGTCTCGAGTTCGTCTTCGAAGTACCCGTTCATGATCTGGTCTACAATGAGTGGCATGTGGCCGAGGACACCGCCGCCCAACTCCAAAGTTAACCGCAGGTCTCTAACGCCCAATGGTTTTCGAATGTTGGCCTCTCTCGCTTCAACGGGGAGTAGGCCTGTAGCGGCATCCTTTGCAATTTCCCCACGAGTGTATGCAAGCTCTTCGACTTCCAGTTGGTGTCGGTATTGACGCATCATCATGTTATTGATTGTACCGGATGGGCCATTCGAACGGGTGCGTGAGAATACCGCGGACAAAACTTCCTTCACGAAAGTTTCCGTCGCAATTGCCATGAACTCAGCACATGGGAGCCCTGCGCCGCTGGGTAGAGATTCTTCGTAACATATGGGGACCATGCGGGCATGGATGGATTCGGCATCGGGGAATTCGCCTGTTTCTGCGGCGAGGGGCTGGGCATAGCGTTTTCGGATTTCCAGTTCCCAGTCTGCAATGGAGGAGAATTGTTAGGGATTATTTCCTGACAGGGGACCACGGGAACGGAGAGGATATCTCGAGTTCGACGCGAAGGGTATCGCCTTACTAGTTTTATTTAGCCCGCCTGCACTTGCGGGCACCTGGCTGGGTAATTTGAATTGCTTAGCTAGATGACTTTCTTCGAGCTCTGTGGGCACTGTCTCATTGGGATCTCGCTGGTGATCATTAGCTGCCGGTTTCTGGGGTGAAGGTGTTCGTCATCGTTTGCGACTACGTACCTCTGAGATTCCCTTTATGCGCCGACGGTCCCTCGGAGGTAATTTCATAACCTCCGTCTTCAATCTTTGTTCCGCAGCATCTCCGGAGACTGGTTTCGACATGGTCGAAGGTTTATCATTGGCCGATACCCAGTTTGCGACGCCATGATCGGGGAGGTCTCGCGTGAGGTTTCCGATGAGCGCGCATATGAAATTGTTATGTAGATGTTCGTTTTTAGGATCGGCGCACAAGAAGTAATCGACGCGTGACGAGTATTCGCTCTGGTTGTAATGTCCTATCATGAAGCAAGAGGTCAGGAGGTGATTGAACCGAGGCCAATACGTAGGAGGAAGGGGGAAGCCAGTCCCCGCAGAGCTCAAGCAATCGCTCTCCGACCAGAAATTCCATGCGCATCACGACATACCTAGTAAGAACAGAGCTGTGGACTCTTTGTACTCGGCCCACTTGTCTCCGATGGCGGCCTTCAGGTCCGTGTAGGCATGCTCTAGCTCTAGCCGCGGCACCGATATCAGAGCTCTAGAGGTCTTCGCAGATACTGAGCCGTTGGGCACAGCGCCCTTTGGATTTGAGATAGAGTCACTCCGACTCAGAGCCGCCGGATCAATCTGCATGGTTGCTGAACTCGCGAGAGCGCGACGGGCGACGCCGAAGGGCAGGGAATATTGGCACCTACGCCTTCATCAAGGAGGATTCTAGGGTTCAAACTAGAAATAGAAGAAGAGAGGATGTTTTCATAAGAGAACCTGATGAATTGAAGATGAAAATTGAAGGAGTGAAAGAGACGGCGATGGGTTTGGGTGGAAGGGGAGGTTCCGACTTGCGGTTCCCCGCCAGAAGCCAGAAACGGATACATCGATGTGCGCCAAACTTAGCAGCATTGCCCTATATCTCTACATATATTTCTCTACGGCAATTGTAATTTTAGATGGTTTTCAAATTTATTAGCTAGATTTTCAAGCTAGCTGCACTACATCTTCACTTAATACCCCAAAGAGTTGTCCAATCTCCGCAATGATCTCCGTGATCTCATTCGATAATTGGCCCGTCACCAAAACTAGAAGTACAAGGGTCAGTATATTGTACTGCATATAACTAGAAACCAAAGAAATACTCACTATAGGCATAAAGTAAACCACAGTCCTCATCTGTGGTCTGTTGAGATGCTTCATGATCCAGGCGATAGCGGTAGATGCGAGCAAGCAACCGGTCTCTGGCATGCTCAATGCTAGGAAGCACATCACCCAAAGGGTACTCGAGTTTCATTGACGAAGCAATCACTGTAAGACAGTCAGCATTGCATTAAGTCCACGGTAGTTGAAAGAGGACGGACCTGATAATAGATGGCTCACGCGAGCAGATAGCTGCTGCCGTTCTAATTTTGTGTATTGAAGAAGGCTGATTTCGCCTTCAGTGGCCACATCATTCTTCATCAGCTCGATGTTCATAGTATGGAAAGAATTCACCATGCTGCGTGTGCGGCGAACAATGTTGGCATAAGAGGCTTCGGGGAATGCACTCTTCAATTCAAATTCGGACCCTGCCGCAGCCTGAAGAGACTCCAACCGAGACAAAAATCTTTCAATCTCAAGCTTCTCTCGGGGTGTCATGTATAAAACAGACTTTTGACCCTTAGCCATGATGGATAGGGGATCGCGTTTCCAGACAAGGCTCAGGTGCAGCCAGAGAAGACTCAGACTCTCCTTGAGCCTGCGTCTTGCGCTTATGGGCCAAATCATTCGAGTGATGATGATTCCCCAAATGCATCCAGACAACACAGCAACAACTCGATGGAGGGCAATTTCGGTCATGATTGGATGAGCACCACCTTCGTCTTCGTCGAAATTCGCCGCCTTCTGAGAAAGGGAATAGCCGTATAGCACAGAGAGGTTGTAAGTGAGCATGATGAACCGGCCCATGGGCCCATTCCCACGAACAATAGTGATGTATCCAGTCCAGACGGCCATTATCCATCCCAAGAATGCAAGAGCAAATACATTTCCAGCGGTGATATTCCATGCGAGGATAGCAGCGACTGCCCCCAAACAAGTACCGAGAAACCGGGCATACCCCGTCGTGTTCGAGGCTCCAATTGTCATTGAGCAAACCAGCATGTAGGACAACAGACCCCATTCTCCCCGCCAACGCCCATAGAACGGGCGAGTTGAAGGAAGGAAAGCAGGCAGGGCGTAGATTGCAGCTCCTGCCCCAACCTTGATCGCGTATTTTGTATCATCTCGTCGGAAGAACCCGAGACATTTCCATAAACGGTAACCGAGCCTTTGCTTTGTTGTTTCATTTGCCGAGGGGCCTTTTTGTGTCTGAACATTGACAGGCAGACTGTCATGTGCAATCAAGCCGTCGGATGCTTGCCTAGCATGTCTATGGAAATTCCGCCCAGTAGCGGGTGGATTGGAAGGTCTTGAAGCTGCTTCTGTAGGGAATTAACATAATATCCATGTCTCAACGATTTGTATGTGGAGATATACGTACCAGCATCAAAGGAGGCTATTTTAGCGGTCTCCGTATTTCTCGACCACTGCCAGACTTTGAGCCATGACCAGGTTCGCCCATTAGGCCGCTCTTCAACTTCCAACTGTAATTCATCTAAAATGGAAAGCATCTCTCGGAGCTGCTCTCCAAATTCGAAGAGGGAAAAGCTGAAATGGCCACAGCTGGCTGTAACTTCCTCAAGATCCGCTTCAGCTTCGCGGGTCTTCAATTTCATTGTTTCCTTTTGTTGATACAAGACCACGAGTGCTTTCTCGCGTGATTCTTTATAAAGATCAAGCGCCCGCTCAAGACTGATTCGCAGTCGACCATTCACTGAGACCCTGTAGTTCGGTGCAGGCCCAAAGGGGATTTCCTTAAAGATTTCTTTCAATGTAAAGGCCAACGATCGCTGCTTCCAGTCAGTCTTGAATTGCATCATATACTTCTTGAGTTCCAACGTACCATTGCAGGACCCAGATGAGAGATGAATATAGTGAAGACATCTGCTGGAAGAAGTGCGGGTCTGGGTGTTGATTCAGCACTTCCAAGTCGGTGGGAACCGCCTGGAGATAGTTCCTCCTCTGGTCGCTCAACAATAGGCTCCAGAAAGGACCCATCGGGGAATGACCACGATCGCTCGAGGGGTGTGAAATAGTCCACATGAGCCGAGCTATTCTGCTGATCTTCCTGAGAGGCAGACTCACGGGCAATAGTCTCACGAATCAAACTGAACTGGAGGGAAGCTGCATTACGCAGTCCTCCCATGTTATGGGTGATATCTTGCACCCAGCGGACAAGGTTCTTTTCGAGCCTGTACTCTTTCTCGGTGCCTGCCACATAGTGCTCAAGTTTGGCTTCTCTGACGAGCCTGTCGAGCTGGCTATAGGCCTTGCGGTGCCTCGTCTCTGCATCAACGAATTCGGCCGAGGCAAGGACCTCCTCAGTCCCACTCAAGAAGCTTTCCGTGATAAGTGCCATCAT